AAGAAGAACACTATTACAACCAAGGAACCCTGGCACAGTCGTTACCTTTCTCCACGAATTTCGTATCTAACAGAGTGGATCAAAGAGACACATCCAAAAATATTTTACCCGGATCTCCACAACGAGGAAATACAGGAGCTAGAAACCTCGAATGTGAGGTTTCCCGATTTCCCGAGCAGGAGCAGCTCACCTCCCAGTCCCAGACGAGACGGCGCCAGATCCATGAGCAGCTGCGAGCCAGGGCTGCGCGGGATGGAACTCGAGCTGGACGATATTGTCATTCGTTAAAAATAAACTAGGGCAAGCTTTGCAAGCATATTGCCGCATTTTCCCACTCTATTCTATCTAGATGCAAAGAAGAATCGAACCCCAGACCTATGCTTTGGGAGACCAGGGTCTTAATCGACTGGTCTAAGCGTTTTTAGTGAGCTAGTAAACCAGAACTAGGGCTTCTCAGAACCAGGCTCCAATAATAAAATAGCATCCCATATACTTAAATCATTGGAAAATACATAGCGTTTTGGTCAATGTCACCCACCATCCCCTGCATTCTCAATGCTCTAGGCCGGCGCTTCGTCCTTGGAAGAACCCATTCGTGGAGTTTGGAGATTCTAGATTGGTCGATCTTTGCGCTTGATCATTGTGTTGAGCTGAGATAAAGAAAAGCCCAAGTTCTCCATTGTCATTTCATAAACTTGCCTGAACTTCCTGTCTGTGAAGGACCTCTAGTTGAAGCCACTTTTGTAACTTAGTTGTTGACGAACTGGAAGATTCATCAGGCAAGCGAAATGCTTTATTACTCTCAAAAGCTTACAGCTTCAAGAGACACCTCATCTTCTCAGTGGAGGTAAAGCAAGACAAACAGCTCCTCCTCCTTATCTCGCCGAGAGTATGCACGGCGTCATTCTCCATAAAGCTACGCATCGTCCAGCCTTGCCAACTTGAAGCCATTCATGAGAGTGGTGTAAGTAACCACGTCTGGAGAGCTTCCAGTCTCGGGCATCCTCTCCAGCTGGTTCATCGCCTCGTCCATCTTTCCCATTTGGGAGTTGTTACTGCACCCCAAGAGATCGATCGCCTGAGATCAAGGCCTGCTCCAGCCGCTTCAGCTTGCAGGGGCCTGGCCGTGTATGGCTGGAAGATGGTGGCGGCCACTTCCTCAGCATACTCCACAAGAACAGCGTCCAGCCAGGCCTCCTTGCACAGAGCGGTGATCTTGGCGTTGCACACACCTCGGTATCGAGACGTCGCCAAAGCCGTGCAAGGTGCCAGGGAAAAGACTACCATCTCGGGCAGGAGCTCTTCGCGCGAGATCGTAGAGGCAAGCCCGGAGGAGAACACGCAGGAAGCAGATGGGGTGGCAGTAGCGCGTAGGAGAAGAAGAAGACCGCATCGGATGATTTTGCCGGTACCTCCGGCGCTCGGACATGCAAGATCGAATCTGATCCTACACTTTCGTACGCATTCTCATTTAATAAAATTCAGCCAAAAACAGATTGAAATAAGCAAGTTTGGCGCAACATTTTGATTTTCGGCTATGAATTTTGGGGCCGATCAAAGCGGGCACGGGCATTTTTGAGCTAGGTTATTTTAAAAAGCGGTAGTATGACGGACCAAGTGTGGATCAGCAGGGACGATGGAACGACGTGGAAGGAGTGCGAATCCAAGTTCTTGTCCGAGAGGATTCTCGCCGCCAAGAGCTCCGGCACGACCAAATTCGCCTTCTTCTCGGGATGCCTGGCGCTCACGGTGGTCGACTTGAAAAAGATGACAGTGTCCAAGACCTGGGGCCGCAAGCCATCCAAGATCAAGATCTCCAAGTCAGAGTCTAGCTCCACGCCAGAGTCTGGATCCAAGCCAGACTCTAGCTCCACGCCAGACTCCATGGCTGCAACCTCGCCAGACTCCATGGATGCAAGCTCGCCAGATTCCATAGATGCAAGCTCGCAGCGCATCCTCTTGAACTCGGTGCCGGTGTGGCATCACTCGGCTCTTCAGCTGGTTCCAGTGCCCGGCGAGTGCTCCGAGGGATCAAAGCTCACTGGAAAACAGTGGCTGGACTGGCTCGTGGACAACAAACTCGCGGAGTTTCTGGAGAAAGTGCATGGAGGGAGTGACATGAAGCTGAATCCTTACGTGGTCACGCCCGGGGAGAGGGAGAAGCATCCGATCTATAGCAAGTTTTGTGAGGCTTTCTACAACCCGGAAAGAGGTAAAGTTTCCATCTTCTTTCCAATGCGATCTAATTGGAAGTATAGGAACGGAGATGGGATCGATTGGCATCGGCTTCCACGGGACTCCCGAGGTTAACATCGATTCCATTCTTCGCAATGGATTCAGCAAGAGCTGCCACGCAGACTTCTACTTTGCGAGGTCGGCCGTGTTTGCTAGAGATTATTGCCGCCGCGGCCATCAGCTCTCACGCGTTGTCATCGTTTTGGATATTCAAAGCAAAACAAAAGATGGCAACATTTGCGTAGTTCCATGCGGGACACCACATTACTTACTCCCAATCGCTACCTTTTGGATTTAGCTTTTTGAGCAGGAAGATATTTTAGTACATTTTTTTCTAATCTTATATGCCAATCAATTAGACTAATCACTTATGCTAGTCTTATGCAATTAAACTAATCAACGGAGGAAGATTATGAAAGTTTATATATACTTCTGGGGTTAAGGTCAAGTAATTTAGTGAGTATGAACAAAATCACTGTCTTCTTGATGGTGTTTACTTCCTCTTTTGGACCAAATGACATGCCTTTTCACAAGAAATTCAAAAACACACACACACACACATGTTTTTTAGATGGGCTACATTGGTTCTTTTTATTAGTTTTCTATGTATAAACCAACTTTGATTCCAATATATAATTCCAGACTATTCTACATTACCAATGTATAAACCAATCTATAGCTTTTGTGAGATTCAATGGCTTCCTCAACATTCTGAAGGCAGCCATTCATGGAAACCAAGCATTTGATCTATCACAAAAAGTTATGGAAAGGAGAAATCTTTTTGTAACATTTCAAAGATTGCTAATCACATCAAGGATGTCCTCGTGGGAGGTATAACCTACTTTCCGCACAAAGGCAAGCTCACCTTGAAGCTCAAACACTTCATTACCTTCATCACCTTCCTTTCTTTTGTTTTGAGGGAGTTGGTGTCTTGCGAGCGTGCGTCACACGATGATTCGAAATCTTTACAATGTCTTTGAACACTGTACTTCGTTTCTACTCCGCTCTGTTCTTGACTCTTCTCCACTACTTGTAATAGCATGTCTGTCCAGTGTGCCGCCTTCCTGAAAAGGAAACATGTACATATAAAGCGACTCTTTTTCTGTTTCTGCAATTTCTCAAGGCCTGTCAAGTTCTCAATCCGCCGCTCTCTGTGAAGCAATATAACTAAGTATACCTAACTTGTCGATGATAAGCCTGGTCTGGGCTCCATGAGGTTCTCTTTCTTTGTTTGCTAATATAAAATAAGACAATAGATAAGTGGAAAAACAAACCTTGCTACTACTGCTGTTACACACTCTTTCGTTTCTTCTCGTTCTTCCATGATATCATCTTTTTTAAGATGTCTTCGGCCTTCCAATTCAGAACTATTGGAGCGGAATTGCAATTTCTCCATAATGTTCTCTGATGAAATCAAGAAAAAAGTCTTTAGCCGACGTCCATCGACGTTGCTGCGTGTAGCTTGGACCAGTTTTGAACTGTCTTCATGTTGTACAGGTGTACATCTGGTGTTGATCGCTCTAGTAACTTCTTCTATGAAACTCCTTGCTTCTCCCAAACACTCGTTCATATGTAGGCTGTTGATTTTCACCCTGGCTTGTACAGCTCCAAGCGGTGAAAGAGTACATTCCACTTTAGGGCAGAAATTACACTATTTATAAACTAGTATTATGGTTGATGGAAGGTAGAGGAGGCTCTTGACTAAAACCTTGGAGGGGCTTGGGGAAAACTTCTTGGCAGAGAGTAGAGTTTTAGAATAGCGCTTGGATGACAAAGGCAAAGTACCTTGACCATGTCTCAGCTCCTCAAGACAAGAGGACGTTGTGAGCATCATTGTTTCCAAAACGTTCAAGCAATGACACCAAATTTGATTTTGGCGCCAAAATTTTGAGAGGGTTAGGGCGCGCGCTCGAGTTCTTCGCGCAATCAAGGAAGGGGAGCTCCGCGATCTGCCGCTCCAGGTTAATTTCGATTTTCAAGAGCCTGGAGCTCCTGGGCTACAAGAGCATGATTTGGATTGATTTTGCGCGCTCATCTAGGCCCAGGCGCAACGTGGGGATTTGGAGATCACGAGGACAGCCGGGCGATTTCGCTGTGAAAGAAGCGATCAAAACAAGTTCTTTATTGGCTGCGACGATGGAACGACGTATCCTCGCCACCAAGAGCTCGGGCACGGCCAAAATCGCCTTCTTCTCGCGCTCACTGTGGTCGACTTGAAAAAAGATGACAGTGGAAGACCTGCATCCAAGATCAAGACTCCAAGTCATTATTGCCGCTCTCTTGCGTTTAGGATATTCAAAGCCAGAGAAAAGATAGCATCGTTTCCAAATCGCTACTTTCTGTTAATAAATTGTTATTGATTTACAAGACAACCATACAAGTTCAAGGTTTTCGAGTAAAACCCATGCGTAGCATATAGGTAGCTCACACCTTGCTGGAATTGTTGATATTCTCATGAAGGTTTTGGCTCGATGGTCAACTAGATCTGCCATCCAAGATCAAGATCCCGGGTTTTCGGCTCTTTAGATGGTTCCAGCGAACTTCTTCGTAATAGCAGGAGCTACTGAAAAAACTTCTACTTCAGCTGTATTTGCCATGTCATCGTTTTGGATCTTCAGAGTCAAAAGAAAAAGATAACATCGTTTGCACTGTTCCATGACATTGCTTACTCCCAATCGCCACTTCTTGAATTACCATTATTAGGGCAAATTTGAATTCAAATTTGGCATATTCTCTACAATATTTTAAAGAACCCTACATTCCGGTCAGGATTTAGGGTTTATCTTCATGGCGATGGGACTCTTGACCTGGTGCTTCCCATCGCTCCAGCTGATCCACGCGAACGCCCACTCGATCGGCGAGCTTGGCGCCGCGGAGGCATTCACGGTGAGCGTGTAGGCGAGTTTCTGGCCGATCTTGGTGAAGGCGAGCTTGGAAGGCGCCACGGTGATAGACGCGGCTGTGGAAGCCTCGGCATTGGTGATGGTAGCGGTGTAGGTGGATGCTTTCTCGGGGCCGACGTTTGTGAGCGTCCGCTGGGATGACTGGGGGACCGCGATTTCGAGCGCCGGGAAGGAGAAAGAGGGATAGTTGAGAGGAGGCCGGGGATGCTTCTTGGGCGATGGACAAGTAATGTTTGGGTTTCCAGAGATTGTTCGCAGCTGGGCCGAGGTGAATCCATCGCTGCAAAGGTGAGTCACGTAGTCTGCGACGTCCAGATCGTAGACAAGGCCAGGATCAGCTGCTAGGACCGGCTGGACTTCTCCGGTTCCATAGTCGAATGGAGTTCCAGTGTCTCCAGAGTCGACCTTCATCACTTTCTTGGTATTGTCTAGATTGTTTGCTGCAAGAACAAGCGAAGTTTAAGATCAAGTTCTCACGGTTTTTCTTTTTCTTTCGTTTGCAGGGAAGAAGAAAGCTTTACCTGTTGTCATGATGGCCGACTTGATAGCCGCTGGACTCCATTTCGGGTGGAGCGATTTCACGTAAGCGATGACTCCCGTGGCATGAGGACAGGCCATGGATGTTCCGGTAAGAAATCCAAACTGTTGGTTAAGTTCTCCATTCTCGGTGGCTATGTTGTCAGGCCAAGCTGCAAGGATGTGAACTCCCGGAGCAGCAACATCCGGCTTCGAGCATGGAACAAGAAAAAAAGCAAAGAACAAAGGTCTGAGTTAACTTTGTGCTTTGGAGAGCTTGCAGCTTCTTACTTTGAGAATGCTTGGACTGAATCTGCTAGGTCCTCTTGCTGAGAAATACGGAATGACTGGTGCGCTTGAAGTTGGCAGTCCTTGGTTGGGCTGAGAAAATTCCAAGTAAACATGCTGAAATTTTTTTCAAAGTGAAAAGCTTGCTACTATACCGATTCTGATGTCAAAGAGCTATCGCCCCTGTCCGTAGTGCTTGCAGCGATGCTTAACATCCAAGGAGCAAAGTTTGCGATGGATCCCATCATCGGACCACTGTTTCCAGCAGAGGTTGAAATACTGATCCCGTGTTGAGCGGCATGAAAGGTTCCAATCGCAACGCTGTCTTGGTCGAACGACGCTGGCGTCTCGGCACCGAGCGAGATGGACAGGATGTCGACTCCATCTTTTATCGCGTCGTCAAAGGCAGCCAGGATCCCGTCGTCGCTACACTTTTTGAAGATCCAGCAGACTTTGTACACGGCGATCCGAGCTCCCGGTAAGCCTCCTCGAGCTGTTCCTTTGGCTGTCCCGTCTGAGTTTGCTCCTGGAACTTCTCTTCCTGCAGCTGTGGACGCTGTGTGTGATCCGTGCCCGATCTCGTCCCTGCCGGATTCATATCTCCTCTCGCTTACGCCGAGCTCGTAGTAGCGAGCTCCAATTACTTTCCTGCGAGAACATCCTTTCAAGTCGAACGGGAGCCATGCAATAAGAGAATGAGGTACCTGTTGCATATAACTTGTTCCGAGACGTTAGTGGCACCGTTTACGCATTGTCCTTTCCATCTCGACGGTACAGGTCCCATGCCGGCGTCACTGAAGCTCTTGGATTCCGGCCAAATGCCTTCACGAAGCCAGAGTTAGAGAAAACCAGCGAGACAAGAACCAAGGTACGTACCAGTGTCTAGTAGACCGACTATCACGTCTGAGGATGCATTTAATGGGACTTGTTTGGACAGTGAGAGGCCTAGAAAGTCCCACGATCTGGTCGTATGGAGCTGGATGTTTCTGCTGCGAAAAACGCTCACAACTCCAGGCATTCCTGCAAGATCAAAAGGTGAGATTTTCTCCTCTTGTTTTGTATTCTCAGCTGATCACCTTTTATCTTTTCAGCTTCATCCGCTGTCAGTGTTGCCGAGAATCCACTGAAAGCATAGTTGTAACTATACCGGATCTTGCTCGCTGCCACCTCCATGCTGGAAATGAAGAAAAAGGAAGTCGTCAATCAGCCAGGAGGAAAGAAAGCAAAAAATCGCGACGATCTGTAAGTTCTTTAGCTTGCCTTCCAAAGACTTGCGCAAGGATTTGATGGTGTCCTGCAGTGACCGATGCTGGCTCGATCCCGGCTTGTTTTCCTCCCATGTAAACAACATAAGTCTACGAACACACAACACAGGTAAGCGATCGCTCTTTCTATCAGTCGAGAATTTACTACTCACGTTGGTAGTGGGATCATCGTAGGCTCTTCCAGATGAAGTGACGCTCAAACACAAGAGCGCTGGGAGGACGATGATCTTCCAGAAATGCTGGAACGCCATGGAGTTTCTCTTGAACAGCGCCGCAAGCTCTTCTTTATTCGTTCAAGCTTTGATCATTGGATGCTCAGCCCAGTGGGTGAAATTTCTTATGCCGATTTTATCTTCATGCTTAAGTTAGTTTTCTTGTTTTGTTACAGCTATCTACGTGTGGTAAAGTGGAGCATATTTTTGATAGTTTGTGACTAATTCTCTTCTTATACTCTTTTAAAATTTTCTTCCCGCCAAGACTCTAGGGTTCTTGGGCATGGCGCCTCAAAATCTTGGAGCGTTTGGCAATCCGGTAGGCTCGATCTCTGTCTCTCCTCCCTGATGTAGCTGATTTCCAGGCCAGCAATGACGGCAAGCGTCGCCGAGAGCAGGATCTGGCAGCTCCGCCCGTCTGGAAGAGGTTATCGATTCACGAACGGTTCTCTTGTGGATTTGCTAGAGAGGAGATTTTGCAGGAAATTGCTCCAGGGATCGCAATTCACCAGCGGTGTCGTCGTTCCGGTGAGTGGAGTGTTTAGATTTCGTGTTGGTGGGAGGAGATGGATGGATTGATTGTAGGTATTGCCACTTCCAAAAGACTTGGACTTGGACTTCGAGGAGAACGAAGCAGCAAATAACCACGGGAGCTCTTCACTGTTTAGAGGTGAGCTTGGATTTTCATTCCATAATTGTCTCTTAAATCGAGTTTCTTTAGAGGAGATGGAAACGCTGGAACTTCCGTCTCTACCTTCCGTGATATCTCAGGCTCGACCAGAAATGCTTGAGTCTTTCCGACGCTTGGTTTCACCAAGCTATTTTCCACTTGAAACTGGGAACAAGAGCGACAGGTTTGCTTTTCTCTTTTCTTGTGGCAATGATGAAAGCTCTACTGTTTTGCAGTGACAAGGCTCCCCTCTCACCTTCTGGCGTCCACAACGACGATCTCGCTTTCGCTGCCCAACTTTTGGATTACAAGCGGCTTTCAACAACGCGGAGAGAATAATGAGGGAACAAAAACCTCGTTGTTTAAGCTTGCGAGTTGGCTCAGGTAATTGCGTGCTCTATCCTGCACCCCAAATCTGGTCAAGATCCCGGCTTTATAAAATAAGCAGGCTGGAGAGGAGGATTCTGATGGCGAAGTGGTTTTGGATGGTCGCATATTTCGTGTTTTGGGAGAACTTGACGTGACGAAAAGATGGGCAATCGCAAGTGACCATCGGGTCCCGCAGATGAGAGTGGCTCTTGTTTTGTCAAAGAAGCAACTGGTATGTAAGGTCTCGCTATTTTCCACTCACCGGTCCTGACTCTGTTGCAGCTTTTGCGTCTGCAGACCTTTGGAACACGTTGGCGTTCACACTTGGAGCTAAGCCACTTCCACCAAGTGTAAGCAAATGATGTTCTCCGTTATCATTGCGAGCAGTGTATCTGTTGCTGCTTATTGGGCATCGGTTAGTGGCCATGACAAGGACCACGCATTACGTGGTGGGTCTCCATTGCTCTTGATCTCCTCTGCAAGTTGGTTTGCTTCCTTATATATACTATCCTTGCTGCTGGTTTCTAGCATTCATTCTCGTTTCATTGTCTCATTTTTATTCATTCGGCTCTCGTTCATCTTGGCTGCGCTACTGTTCTGCATGATCATATGGAGCTACTCAAGCCGATTGTTGTGCTAACTTGTCTCTTGTCGATCCTCGTCCTGCAGGTTGCTGAAGCTCGCGACAAGACGTTGGTTGGCAATGCAGACTCTTACGATCACCCTGAGTTTGGAGGCTCCGTGAAGAACCACAAGCCCGGGCATGGCGTGGTCCAGCCAGATGATCACAAGCCTGGCCACTCGGACGTGTCGACGAACAATCACAAGCCTGGGCACACCGGTGGGTTTCACACGGAGAACCACAAGCCTGACGCAGCTATACCGCCGTATTGGACAGCGGGAGAGATGTCAACGAAAAATCACAAGCCCGGTCACTCGGACGCGTCAACGAACAATCACAAGCCAGAAGTTCACGTTGACAACCACAAGCCTGGTCACACCGGTGGAGTTTCAACTGACAACCACAAACCTGGTCACACCGGTGGAGTTTCGACTGAGAACCACAAGCCTGGTCACACCGGTGGAGTTTCTACGGAGAACCACAAGCCCGGTCACACTGGTGGAGTTCATACGGAGAACCACAAGCCCGGTCACGGTGATGCCGTCGCTCAATCTTTTGCCACTGTAGCTGCGGATGTTTCGACAAGCAACCACAAGCCTGGTCATCAGGACTTCTCGTCGAAGCACCACAAGCCTGGTCACGGTGATGCTCACACGGACAACCACATTCCCGGTCACACTGGTGGGATCCACACGGAGAACCACGAGCCCGGCCACCCGGCTTCCACTGCTGGCGTTCAACCCGACGGTCTGCTCGGTGACATTGCTCGCCATGTAGGCAACGGAGTTGGCAACGTGGTTGACGGACTCGTAGGTGGTGGCTCGGGTGCCGGGCTTGGACTCGGCGCTGGAGTTGGCTACGGTGGTGGAAGCGGCTCTGGCGCCGGTAAAGGCTACGGTGCTGGGACCGGATATGGAGCTGGCTCTGGAAGTGGAAGTGGCTCGGGATATGGTAAAGGCACTGGCGCCGGCTCCGGCTATGGAAGTGGCTCTGGAAGTGGCTCTGGCTCCGGCTCTGGCTATGGAGGTGGCGCGGGACACGGTGCTGGAAGTGGAAGCGGCTATGGGAGTGGAAGTGGCAGTGGACACGGTGCTGGAAGTGGAAGCGGCTATGGCTCTGGTGCGGGTGCAGGACACGGTGCTGGAAGCGGAAGTGGATATGGCTCGGGCTCTGGTGCCGGCTCTGGTTATGGCGATGGCTATGCTCCGGGACATGGCGATGGTTATGCTCCGGGGCACGGTGCTGGAAGTGGATATGGCTCGGGCTCTGGCTCCGGTTCTGGCTACGGCGAGGGTGCCAAAGGTGGCGATGGATATGCTCCGGGACACGGTGCTGGAAGTGGATATGGCTCGGGCTCTGGCTCTGGCTCTGGTTATGGCGAAGGTGCCAAAGGTGGCGAAGGCCATGGCTCTGGTTCTGGAACTGGAAGTGGCTATGGGAGCGGGGGAAATGGTGGCGGAAGTGGCTACGGTTCCGGCGCTGGTTCCGGCTCTGGCTATGGAACTGGTGGAACTGGAGGGAGTGGCTATGGCTCCGGCTCTGGCTCTGGCACTGGCTCGGGATCTGGCTATGGTGGAAATGGAGGCAGTGGATATGGATCCGGGTCCGGGTCGGGGTCGGGGTCGGGCAGTGGTGGCGGTGGCGGCTACGATGGCGAGAACGAAGGAGAAGTCGCGGGTCCGGGATACTAGACGATGGCTCGGAGTTTCTAAAAGCTTGGTATCATAGAATGAATGATATCAACATATAGTAGGCTTAAACGTTAAACATTGTAAACGTTGTGGCTTTGATCACAAAATAATATGGTTTGATTTATGTGAAGAAAAGAGAGAGAGAGAGCTTATTTCTAGTCTTTGGGTTTCTTGGATGGAGGAGCACCGTTTGGATACTTTGGTGGGAGATAGACCCGGTCGTGGAGGTAGTTCTTCCTGCGAATTCTCACTTTGAGGAACATGGTGCGCTTACCTCCCGGGAGTGGCAAGTCGGGTGGTAGCCGGATTGGTACTTGGAAGTGGCCGAGTTGCGTGAGCGGCTCCGGGAGATCGAAGTGCCGCTCCACCACTTCGATCTGGAGTTGCCTCGCTACCTGGTTTCGATCCATCCATGGTTTAGATGAGAGTTTTTTTGGAAGTGGTGCTTGGATTACCTCGGGTACCAAGTCGCGAGCAGTGACGGGGAATCGCAGTGTGGTGGGATCCTTGATGATTTTGTAGAGAACCTGGGAAAAGATTTAGACAAAAAGAAATGAGGAAACGAGAGAGTGGATGTACCAGGCCACGGGTATCGAATCGATGGAGCATTCTCTCGATGTCCCTCCTTTGGATCTTGTCTTGCTTTTGTCTCTCCGCTTGTTCTTCGTCCTCTTTGGCGACTGTTGGTGGAAAGAACTGGAAAAAAGAAAAGGAGAGATCAATCCATATGAGCAGTGTTTCTTCTTCTACCTTGAGATTTTGCTTGACCAAGTTAACGTATTTCTCGATCGCAGGCATGGCCTTGAGCTGTGGACAAAGATAATTCCGCGCATAGCCAGCGGAAACCTTGACAATGTCTCCAGCCTCTCCCAGCCGATCCACGGGCTGCCAAATCGAAGAAATCTCTCAAAACCGAAGGAGAAGAGCGATGAATCGAGCACAGACCTCCGTGAGAATGACCTGGAGGAGCTTCTTCACATGCCGCGCTTGCAATGCGCTCGCTCCGCCGCCGCTCCGCCATGACTAGCAGCGGCACAGAGAAATGTAGATCAGCTAGCGCGATGGATGGATGGATGGATCGATGGAGCATAAACCCTAAACCCTCTCTCTCGCCTACCTGGTGGAGGAGAGACGAAGACGAAGAAGCAAGGCGACGAGAGACGATCATTGGACCGCCCTAGATTCCCCGCGCATATACCTTTAGGGCTTTTAAAAGGAGAAGGGGAGAAAAAAAAGATCCATCCATGGACAAATGCGCGACGCTGGAGGAAGAGTACGCGGAGCTACAAAAGGTTTGATTGATCTTCTTCGCTATCGATGATGGAATCCATTGAAATTCTGGATGGATCGCCCAGGAGAGCTTGGAAATCACTGCGCTCCTCCGCCGCGCCAAGCAGAACAAGCGATTGCTCCTGGCGGAAGTCAGGTGGCTGTCGCTAGATCGATTGGTTTGATTTGAGTGATCGATACATCCTTGTTTTGGTCAGATTTTTGAGAGATCGAGTGGCAATGCTGGAGAAAATCTCCACGCCCATGGGGGAATCGCTGCTGGAGACCGATTCTAGCGATCAGCACCACGCCCTCGAGCCGAATTTCATCGATCACGGCAACCCCTGCGAGTTCCTGGTGGCGACCAACACGAACTACATTGATCTAGACGACGACTAGTGTGTACGGTGGGGATCACGGCCGTCGGAATCTAAATATACGGAAAGCCATCCGACCGTTGAGACGAGACCCTTGTCCACGTGGCTTTTAAAACAGAGCTCTTAAGTGTCTAGGGTTAGGGCATTTGGGATTTTTTGGGAGGTGACAGACATGGCGCGTGCTCTGTGAGATTGCGCGCATTCCGGTCGATTCTCCTCTTCTGGAGCTCAAATCCGTGCGCGCGTAGCGTGCGAAGGTGAGATCTCTCGCGCTCCCTCCTCCTCTTCCTTAGGTCGGGCTTGATCTTCCCGCTGTGCGATCATTAGGGTTTTGGGGTTTTGGAGGCATTGTATGGGAGATGGCCGAAGCTGCCGCCGATGCCCATCCCAACAACAAGAGGAAGCACAATCCCAATGGCCTGGCCAACGAGAGCAAGGAGCGAGTGATTCCTCGCCTTCTCAAGGAGCCCAATCTCTCACACGCCCCGGACAACTACGATGATCTCGTCAACATCGAGTACCCGCCCTCTCTTTACAGCACTATGGAGCAGTACCTCCCTTCGCATATGCTCACGGCTCCCAGGGACAAGAAGCTCGCGTTTATGGATCGTGTTCTCGTCAAGTATCGTCCCAATGGAGAGCGTGCCAGGGTAAAAAACTGTTTTTCTTTCATCTCCGTGGTTTCTTACGCAGCATTCTATCCAGAAGCATCGAGAGTACAGGGATAGAGTGAAGGATAAGTATAAGGTACTGTTCCTTTTTTGTTTGTCCTTTCCGAGATCTAAAGTTGAGCTTGTGCTGGCAGCGTCTTCACGAGGATCTTTACACTCTAGACCCGGATCAAATCTTTGTGGAGCCTTTTAGGAAGGCAGTTGAGAATGGCTCCGAGGCGGCCTTGAGGGAGATCCTTACCGAGCATTCTCCGGGAGTTTTTACGTTTACCATGCTCCAGCCCGGCTTCTGCTCGAAAGTCTTAGAGGAGGTGTGTTTTACCTCATATCGTTTTAGTTGCGGCTTAATTTTGTTCTTCCGCAGGTTGCGCACTTTGAAAAGTGGGCACACGAGGTCAAAGTTAGTGTGCTCCGGCCCAACACCATGAACAACTATGGAGCTGTGCTGGACGATATCGGCATGGAGACGATGCTGGACCAGTTGATGATGAAGTTTATTCGTCCGTTTGCAGCACGTATGTCAGGAACATTTGTGGTTACAGTCTTCTTAAGTCGTGTCTTTGTCGCAGTTCTCTTTTTTAACGTTGGAGGTGCCACACTTGACACGCACCATGGCTTTGTGGTGGAATACAGTATTGGGGGAGATCTCGATCTTGGTGAGCAGTGAAAGTGATGAATTGTAGCATGTGACATGAGTCTTGCTTCAGGTTTTCACGTGGACGACTCCGAAGTTACGCTAAACGTCTGCCTCGGCAAGGAATTCGATGGCGGCGAGTTGTTCTTCCGCGGTGTTCGATGCGATGCTCACGTCAACGGAGAAGCTCGCTCGGAGGTACGAGGAGTTCACTCGAGTTCGATATCTTTGATTGAGCATCACCCGCAGGAAATGCTGGAATACTCTCACGTCCCCGGCCGAGCAATCCTACATGCCGGACGCCATCGACACGGTGCGAAAGCCATCACTTCCGGCCAGAGAACAAACTTGATCCTTTGGTGCAGGAGGTGAGTGAAGAAAAAAACGTGTTTTTTCTGCGAGCAGTGTTCTAAAAGTTCGTTTTTTCTGCTAGCTCTGAGTTCCGCGAGCTCAAAAAATATCAGAGAGATTTCTCCGCTTGGTGTGGAGAATGCCTTCTTCGCAAAAAGGAGAGGCGGCGACGCTTAACGAATGCCAAGAGGCAGCCTGCTGCGTGAAGAATAACAACACCACTGTCAATCCGGCAACCATGTACTTGTAAGAAGGATCTCTAGATGCAAATTTTTTTCCTTTTGTTCTTCCTTTCTTTCCACCAGGAATGTTGGTTGTACACATCGCGGCACTGTGACCGTGGTAAGCTTCTTATAAGAACTACGTGAGAACTTTACTCGTCTTGCTTTGAAGTTACAGCGATCGCCGGAGGCTGCACGAATCGAGCTGGTCTCTTGTAGATCTCGACGAGCCGCGCAACTCTGGCTTGCTCTTTCGCTTTCCTCTTCACGCGAAGCGCTCGAAAGTGGTCGCGCTTCTTCACTCTCCTGCTGTTGGGATTCTCGGGAACTTCGATCTTGGGATAGACACTCACCTGGAAGAAGAAAAGCTATGGAACCTCGAGAGCGAGCAATCGACGAAGAAGAACTTACCTTTTGTTTGTCAGGCCAGAGCCTCTCGAATTTGACGACTCCATCGATCAGGGAATAGATCGTGTAGTCTCTTCCCAGTCCTACATTGTTGCCTGGATGGAACTGGCAGCCTACACAGAATTAGCGCTTCTTCTTCCTCTCTAGAGCTCAATCCATCAATCAATCCAATCGAGGGAGAGATTGCTCTTACCTTAGTTCCTCTCTGGCGGATGATGATAGATCCCGGCTTGGCAGTCTCGCTGCCAAACACCTTGACGCCCAGCCGCTGCGCTTGCGAATCGCGCCCATTCTTGGTGCTGCCGGTACCCTTCTTGTGCGCGGCGTGGATGAAGAGCGGCAGCCTCGCCGGCGCCGTGAGGAATCGATTCCTGCGCTGGAGCGCGCCATCGCTGCCGGAGAAGAGGGAAGATCCGAGAGAGAGGCCCGAGAAGGCGGAGGCTAACGACGCCATAGCCAGAGCTCAATGAACGGCTCACGATGAAGGGGATAGCATTGAAAATTCTTAGCTTGACCTAATCGCGAATGGCAATTTAGGGTTTATCGATCGAGCGCCTTGCTGGATGGCAGTGCAGGCCGGAATGGCGACATCCAAGCTCATCATTCTCCTTGGAGCAGGTAATCGATCGCCCCGGCGCTGGAGCTGTGATCGGCCGATTGATTGATTCGTCGTCTTTGGCAGGGATGACTGGCTCGATTCTTATAAAGAATGGGAAGCTCTCGGATTTCTTCAAGGATCTTAGCAAGGTTTTTAGTGCTGTTCTTGGTGGATTGGCGTGGCAAATTCGTGTTTTCCTTTTTTCCTTGCAATCGCAGGTTTTCTCGAAGCACTTGAAAGAGGATGACAAGGATGAAGTGACGGAAACGCTGGCACAGCAAGTATGTGACAAAGAAAAATATCTTCTTTGCTGATGCTTTCCACTGTCTGTAGGTCCAGCGCTTGACCAGCGATCTAAGACAGTTAGCTGGCTCCAGGAACATCACGGTTGTGAATGCTCCTGGCACCTCTGGGCAGTCAAGTATGATCGAGGGTAGTTTCTTTCACGCGTTTTAACTTGGAATTCTATGCAGGTAATCTTTCCTCTCTCGCCATGCCTGCGCTCGTCATTGGTGTTGCTGGATATGGATACTTTTGGTGGAAGGCAAGTACTTTCTCGAGCATAAGAAGCTTTTGATTGAGCTTTGCTTGCTTGCAGGGCTGGTCATGGACGGATGTCATGTATGTCACCCGTCGAAACATGTCGAATGTGGTTGCGAGCGTGTCAAAGCAACTAGATCAAGTCTCGGCCGCTGTTACGGTAAGTTTGGATCGTCCGTGACCCTCTATAATTTTCTCACAGGCAACGAAACGGCATCTAACTTCACGGATTGATTCGGTCTCGAAAACTCTGGACGACAGTGTTGCGGTTCAGGGATTGATAAAGAACGAGGTTGGGAAAGCGCGTCCTTTGTAGCTTGCACAGCTTGCTAACGAGTTTACTGGCCAGGTGTTTGAAATTCGTGGAGATGTGGCTCGTGTTGGCGGGGATATTGGAGCTGTACAACAAATTGTCGAGGGCTTGGGCAATCAGCTCGACGATGTACAAACCAAGCAGGTTTGTCTTTCACTTTCTTCGTGGTTTTCTTTGATAGTAAAGTATGATCTATAGGACTTTACAAACCAAGGGATTATCTTGCTTTGTCAATTTGCAAGGAGATGGGAAGAGACTAGGCGCCAAGAACTGCCTGGGGTACGTAGCCTTTTTTAAAACTGTTGCGCGCGAGGATGACATGACATCTCTATCTAGATTTCTCCCATCTTGAGTTTGCAGAACGGTGAAGCCAAGCCCGCTAGCGGTGTCGATAGCATTCTACAGGCAAGAAAATTCGGTTTTTCTTGGACCTTTGTAACTGGAATCTAACTTTTTCTTTTCGTTCGTTGTTGCAGGGGCTACCTCCGCTGCCTAAAGCACGTCTAGAGCGATCGGCATCCGCTACTGGTTCAGGACTGAAGGTAGAGTAGAAAAATCCAAACCTCCGTCTTTGCTACTTAGCCCTTCCATCGTCAGGAACTCCAGTTCATCTCCGATGCGCTTTCTGGAAACTCTGGCGATAGCTCCAAGCTCCAGAGGACATTGACACCGAACTTGTCATTCAGGTATGCGCTGTTTGCCTTGTAAGCTATGCTATCGTCCTGACAATATTCTCTACCAGGCTGCAAAAGACTTGAATATGTGTATAAATCCACGGAGGAGAATCTGGCGGTGGTAGCAGTGGCAGCGAGCTCTTTTCATTCTTCTTTTCTCGACGCCAGGCAACTCGGGCACATGTTAGGAGCGAAGTTCTTCGACAAAACAATGGCGAAGTTCTTCGAGAAAACAATGGAGGAAGTGAGATCCAAGAGCTTGCCTTGTCAAAGGTAACAGTTTTGCTACGTGATGGCGCTAAGATCCCAGGAGAGAAAAAAAAATGGAACCAAAAAAATCTTGTTGTAAGTAGTATATGATATCTGGGAGGAGGCAAGACCAGAGTAAAAAACCGCGAAGACCAGAGTAAAAAACGCGAAGAAATGCGAAGAGTCAATCCAGAGGCATGTGGGAAGTCCAGTTCTTACGGCGGTGACATATGCCGCGAATCGGGCTCGCCCAATGAGATCTCGCCACGTCATGCAGGGATATTCGAATTTAAAATTAAATATGCTTTCTTCCGTCTTTCTTCCATGTGCATGGTGGCGTGTTTTTCTTCTGGGAGGGAAGAGCGCCAGAAAGAAAAAAGCAGTAAAAAATGGAGGAGAATTTTCGCGCTGTTTGATCCAATTCCAAGAGCTTCCAAATCTCTTCCCATTCGAATTCGATTCCACCAGGACAGAGAGAAGCGTCACTTCCATCTCAAAAGTTTGTTGCCTTGCTCTTGTTGCTTTCGCGATGCCAGAGATCGCCAGTGCCACAGCCTTTTCTTCTCCTCTTCCTTTCTTTTCTCTAGCTCTGGAGCATTTGGATTTCATCCGCCGTGTGGTCCTTCCATCCACCTTGCCTCGAGCGTTCTAGCCGCTTTCTTTTCTTTCTTTTCTTGCTTCGCGTAATTGGCTGGAGTCTTAAACCCGCAGTGGACTTGGACGCTCGCCCTGTCCTTGTGTACCTCGCGCATTTAATTTTCGGAGAGCTTCCTTCTTCCCTCCACTGCGCACTCGCCCATCTTCCACTTTCGCCCCTCTCTCCCTTTCATACCAGGAAGGACGTTGAGAACGAACGGAAGAGGAAGAGGAAGAATGCGGCATTGATCGTAATTGCTTTGCTCCGGAGCGAAGAGGAGGAAGGAGGAGGATTGATATTTATGGATCAAAGCTCTAGTCCTAGTATCAGTCCATCCTCGCATGATCTAGCGCAGGAGTATCATGATCAGCCTCACGACCAAGCAGGGAAGAAGTTCACGACGACGACGATGCTGGCCGTGGGTCTGGGAATCTCGTCCTTCGCCGCCATTGCAATGCTGCTCCTTCTCATCTACCAGAAGATCTCGCACAGGAGAAAGAGGAGGAGGACGAGCAGGGGGGATTTCACTGCGGCAGAGGATTTCATGACACAGCGTAAGTACTTAGAGTTTTTCTTTCCAGGAATTCGTGAGAGATTTTGATCGATCGATCGGTTCGCATTTGCCACAGGGTCGGACAAGAGCACCACAGAGTGTATGCTCATGAATCACTCCTCCAATAATTCCTACAGCTCGCCATCCCCAACTCCTCGTCCCGTTTTGCCGCCTCCATCGCTGCTAACTCTCCAAATCTCCCCTCCTCCAAACAATTGCTCCGGTGCCGGAGGAGAGGAGCGCGATCACATCGCCATCAAGCGGCCTGGACCACAGCCTTTCTCCCTCCACCAGCTCCAGATCGCCACGAACAGCTTTAGCGAGCGCAACATCATCGGCCGCGGTGGATTTGGCTGCGTCTACAGGGGAATCCTCGCGGATGGGAGGGTGGCGGCGGTCAAGAAGCTCGATCTCGAGGGCAAGCAGGGAGAGGAGGAATTCTGTGTCGAGGTATATCACATTCTTCCCACATTCTTCGTGCTTGAATCATCCATTACGTACTCAATCTTCTCATCGATCGATCATGGAATTCATGCCAAAGAAACTGATGGGTTTTGCCAGATCGAGATGCTGAGCCGAGTCCAAGCTCCAAAGCTGCTGGAGCTGCTGGGCTACTGCACGGAGAACGAGCACAGGCTCCTCGTGTACGAATACATGGCCAAAGGGAATCTCCAGCAGCATCTCTATCCGGACGGTACATAGTGCGTGAACTTAGCTTTCATTCTTTGATCTCTCTTTCTATCAGAGGATGACCATGGCTTTGTTCCACTCGACTGGACGACGAGGCTCAAGATCGCCTTGGATGCCGCCAAGGGTCTCGAGTTCTTGCACGAGTTCGTCACCCCACCGATAATCCACAGGGATTTCAAGTGTAGCAACATCCTCCTCGACGACAAGCTCAACGCGAAACTCTCGGACTTTGGGCTCGCCAAAGTGGGATCCAACAAAGTGAACGGCGATGTCTCCACCAGGGTTCTCGGAACCCATGGCTACGTTGCTCCAGAGTATGAACTGGAGCATTCTTCCATTGTGTTTTCACTAGTTTTTCTCACTTGGGTGATTTTGTCTTGTCCAGGTATGTGTTGACAGGACACTTGACAACGAAATCTGATGTTTATAGCTTTGGAGTTGTGTTGCTCGAGATTCTTACTGGCCGTGTGCCAGTCGATATGAAACGACCTGCTGGGGAAGGCGTGCTTGTCTCTTGGGTAGGTTCTCGATATGAAACTCGAGCAATTTGCATCACATTTTATGTGGAACTTTGCAGGCGCTTCCCAGGTTGACGGACAGGGATAAGCTGGTGGGCATGGTGGATCAGGCTCTGGCAGGGCAGTACTCCATGAAAGAACTCATCCAGGTGATTTGTCGATAAAGAATACCTTGACAAGGTTTTGATTTTGTTGTGTGGCTACGTAAAGGTGGCGGCAATTGCTGCGATGTGCATACAACCGGAGGCGGACTATCGGCCGCTCATGATCGATGTGGTGCAGTCGCTGGCACCACTGGTGAAACAAAGGCTTCAAAATCGAACCGGGTGAAGAAGATCAGCAGGGTCAATCATAAATATCGCAAAACGATGAGTTTTCATGTAGATATTTCTAACTACAGAGATGTTTATAGAACATTTGTTTTCACAAAAGGGGAAAAAAGAAGAACTTATCAATGTGATCAATGACTTCGAAGTTCCAAGCTCGATGATAAGCTACTGCTATCTCGCCTCGCGGCAAATATCCCTTAGAACACACAAGTTTTGCAAGTTTATACTGCTGGGATCGAATCCATAGCGAATTATGGGATCGATCGATTACCAGCCTACAACCAAAGGAAAAAAGCTCTATCCGATTGGATCTCTTAACAAGGCTTACATGCTGATCGTTTGTTTATCTAATTTTCGGACATTAGGAAGCCCTAAAAGCTTTTCACATTTTATTTTAGAGTCTTTACATTTCGTTTTCGCGGATGCTCTGTTTTTAGGGTTCTTCCTTCTCTCTCTAGCTCTCGCTCGCCCGCTCGCCCGCTCGCTCGCTCGATCACCACCAGCGGTAGCACAGGCGGAAACATCTAATCTTGATCCACCGCACGCCCCTCTTCACCGAATCGCCCACTCGCCTCCTGGAATCGAATCGCTTGTACGCCGCGACGCGCCGCTTCCTCTTTGCCTCCGGATCGCTGGAATTCCACCCCAGGCTCGCAAGCCGCAGGGATCCGCCTCTCTTCGTCTTGGCCGCCCTCTTGGATTGCCCGTGATCGTCCGCGTCGTCGCCGGCATAGCCATAGGAATAGGAATGCGAATTGGGCAAGTAGTGCCGCGGGTAATTGTAGCTGGATTCTGGCGCGTAAGGCTGGACATCCATAGCCCCCATCGATCGAGTGGGACGATCGAGGATTAGAAGAGGAATGGAAGAAATATAGGGGAGAGAGAGAGAGAGAGAGAGAGAGGGAGGGAGACCTCACAACACGTATATTGACTTTGCGCTCAATAGAAAGATTCAAAGGAAATCTCCACGTCGCGAGAGAAAACGCTGTAATTGGGACCCTCTTTGTGGCTCGATCGTGCCAAGATCGAAGGCCTAGAGATGGGATTTCTCTCTAGCTTATGCCTTTCCCCCCTGGGCCCAAGCAAATCAATCGCCCAGATCCTCGCCACGATGCGATTCGAACCCACGACCTCTGCAATAGATTCTTAGACTATTCCCCCACATGGTACGGTATCTTTGCGCTACGTAGGAAACTCTTATTAGATCGTTAACCTGTACAAAAATGGGAGCAAAAGATACTGGGAATGCGAAGGAGATCTATGGCGCTTACCTCGGAAGAACTCGATTTGGAGGGAGAGGGAGAGTTGTCCTAGACGGTGATGAATGCGTCCTGCTGCTATCTTGCGGCTCCTGGAAGAGAGAAAACCGCTTATGTAAATCAAGCAAAGAGCTAAAACTTCTACTCACGTAGCCGGCCTTCGATGTTTCCACGGCTGCCTCGAGCGTTTCGTTGATCTCCTTGATGGTTGGACGATCGTTGCTGCTCTGGGCGGTACAAAACACGGCGATCTCCACGATTTTTAGAGCTGCGGCGGCTGAGAATTTCCTATCCATCAGCGGGTCAGCGAATTTGTGGATGTCTGATCCTCTCTCGGCAACTCTTTGGGCCTGAGAAAGAAGAAAAGGTAACGAACTTTGCGTGAAGTGGTTTCCACTTACAGCTCTGACGAGTGAGTAACGGTGTTGTAGATTAAAGTCAATCGGCTTTCTTCCGGAAACAAGCTGGAGGAGAACGATTCCGAAGCTATAGATATCGCTCGCCAGCGTGAGCTGCCCCCTTGACATGTACTCCGGATCCAGATAGCCAGATGTTCCCTTGACTTCTGTGAAAACGTGCGATTCCTCCATCGTTATGAACTTTGACAAACCAAAATCAGAGAGTTTGGCTTCCATATTGTCATTGAGAAGTATGTTGGTTGGCTGCATAGAAAAAGAAGAAGCAAATATGAGCTCTTTTCGCAAAAGCTACAAAGAAGAAGGTTCCAAACCTTGACATCCCGATGAATAATTGCTCCTCCCACGTTGGTGTGAAGAAAAAACAGTCCTCGAGCACTTCCGAGAGCAATATTGAGACGTTCTTCCCATGTCAGAGGAGGTCTGTCTCCTGCGCAAAATAATCAGCAAACGATCCATGAAAAAAGGTAGCTTACCAAATAGCCATTGCCACAGGTTCCCGTTGGCACAAAACTCATACACGAGGTAATAACCCTCAAAGGACTGGCAGTAGCCCAGGAGGCTCACCAAGTTCGGATGCCTCACTTTGGACAAGCTCTCTACTTCCTGGAAGAAAGTGTCCGCCTTTTTCTCTTTGTCGATGTGCTTGATAGCCACAAGCTGTCCGCTGGGAAGAACACCTTTGTGAACCAGTCCAGCACTTCCTGAGCCAAGATAGTTTTCACTGCTAAAGTTTCGGGTGGCCTTCCAGATTTCTTTCCTGGAAAATCTGTAAAGTTCAGTGTGCAGCAACTTGCCTTGGTCCTTTGGCTCTGTTTGTTACATAAACGACGCACAATCAGCATGAGGTTGGCTGATTTTATTTTTTGACGATACCTTCGAAGCTGCTGGACCCGATTTTGTCCGATTCCTTCTTTGATGCATACTTCCGACAAAAAAACGAAAGCAATACGAGAGCTCCTCCAACTGCTATAAAGCTGCAGACAAATATCAACGACGTTTCCAATACTACCTCTGCACACGGCACAGAAAAGGCGATGAGGATCATAAACTTAAACTCGGAATTATGTACCTCGTTTATGGCTGGGAGAAGAAAGAATTCCTGATAAAGAGGAAACGCAAGTATCAGAAATAGAGTCCGCTTCTGTAAGCTCCTTACCAAACACACTCAGTTGAGTCAAGAAGCTGGCCCAAGACTCGTTCCAGATATCTCTGCTGATCACGCCAACAAGGAGAGAGGTTGCACAGTTATCCACCGAATCGTTGAGGTTGCGTGCCAGTTCCAAGGCGCTAGTCGAGAAGTTATGAAGACATCCGGCATCGTTTCGGGGCCGCGTGCAAGAGCTTAGGACATCATTGAAAGTCACCTGTGCCGTTGTCAAGTTACCCAGCAGCTCGCCCATGGTACCGAAGTTGCAGGGTAACTGGTAAGCAGTATAACGGGGTGGCGCGAAGTTGCAGTAGTCGTAGCTAATTCCCAAGTCCAGGCTGTGTGTGGCTTTCCAACAAGCTTGACTCAGTGTTTCATTCAAAAACAATGAGGAGCCTCCTGTCTGGTTGGTGTAGACGGCAATCACTCGAGACAAGTAGACCAAAGCGTTTTTGCAACATTCGGATGGCTCCAAGCCACTGTCTGGTTCCGACGAGCAGCTGTCGAGCTTAGTGTAGCGAACGGAGCTGAAGTTTAGAGGACAAACTGGCACAAGAAGAAATATATCAGAACTTTGTATACAGAGAGAGATTTAGTACCTTGTGCTTGAGCTCTCGCCATCCCCAAAACCAGCAAGCAGATCCAGATGAAATCCATCCCCAGTTTGAACAAATGCGAGCTGCAGCAGCATCGGCTGCAAACGGCTGAGCAGAAAGCACAAGAGATTTAATTGAAAAGATCTTTGTCGTGACTGTCATTGAGATTTCCGTCACAGCCGTCTGCATCTTTGCATAAACCGCGTCAAATAAGTCGTGGTGATGTGGAGAAGAGAACACTACAGCTGCTTCACCATCCATGAAAAGATTGCAATAGTTAATTGTTCGGCAATATATGACGCTTACGCTAATGTGCAGGTGATTATAACTTGAAAGCCAGATACAGAAAGCGAACACTTGGCAACCCTCCATTTCAGAATCTGTACGAAAAGTGAACATTTTAGACAGCAAAGCAGATGAGAAAAAACACTTCAAGAAACAAACCGGCCATAAAACTGTCCTTCGCTTTTCCCCAGACAGTTTGTACGCTTGGAATCATGCTCGTCGTCTTGTCGTATCACGACTTTGCTGCTCAATGATATGTCAGTCAAGGTATGGATTTTTAAATATCACCTGAACTGTCGTCAATGCGGCTGTGTCTACTACAGATCCAGATTTTGCGCCTGAATTTACTGTCACCAACACACTAAGAAAAACGTGGAGAGAATCATCATATAAGAAATATTTTTGACGAGCTTATTTCGGGACCAATGCCTAAGCCACTGGTCTCACGTTTCAAAATTCAGTCCTGCAAAGATGTATCCTGCCTGCTCCTATCCTTCCCTCAAATCGTATTCTCTGTAGCGCGGGCTCCTCGGATACACGAACGCTGTCAAAGTCAGCTAGACTTGAAGACGGACCTAGTGAGTCCCAGTTAAAATCTGATATAGCAGTTGCAGTTGCCTGGAAGTCCAAAAGTTGCGTCAGTACACCACCAAGTACCCGAAATGAACGTACATCTGCCGAATCTGTTTCCCAATCCAACCAAGGGGTCACTACGCCATCTGTATTTACTGCCACTGCCCCTGTTTTCCACCGAGGAAACTCCTCACTTCGGCTAGGCACCTGCTTTCTTGACGGCGATTTCCTGTGGCTTGTGGCATTCCTGGAACTTTGAGCAACAAGCCTCTTTCCCGACTTCGACGGTCTTCCATCCAGTGATTCTTCTGTTTCGGACGTCGAAATAGAAGCAAACTCTTCAAAGTACTTTTGTGCTTCTTCGTCAAGGGCCTTCGATATAGTTGCTCTTTCTTCAACACCCTGTACAAAATACCATGTTAGTGGGTCGTTTTAAAAGTATACAAGCTTTTACCCTTCTAGTTTTACGTTTTGGCTGCTCGGCGGGCTTATCATGTGAAGGTCTGCCTTTGACTAGTTTGGCAAGTTCATGACGCGTTTCTTCTTCTTTAGCAAGTTGTGACAGTAGCTCCTGAGTTCTGATCTCCGACTATAAGTAGAAAAAAATTAATTAAAAATAAAAACACAAAAAACAAAACAAACAAATGTACCTGCTCCAATTTTTCTGCATACTTTTGTCGAACGTCTGACTCCGCTACATCCCCTTTCGATGCAACCAGCGTTAGCATATCCTTCTCTAAAGACTGTGCGTGTGTTAGCGTAATATTTTTGCTCAAAAAACTTATATATACCTGTTCGATTTCCGCCTTAAGATCGGCTACAGCTTTGCGGACTTCTTCACGCATTATCCCATAGAGGTCGGCTTCATCGACATCTCCAGCCGGGGGATCCATTGGCTGCGAAACAAAATAGTAAACACGGACAAAGAAAAGAAATACACACAGACCTTCAATTGTGCATGCACAGCTCTGATTGTTCTTTCCTCGGTTTGGATGTCAGTTCCAGGGTGTTCCCCAGCAGTGCCGCCTCGATGCCCCGGGCCTTGCGACTCACTTCTCCTGTACCTACCGATAGGCTCCTTTGAGGAACTGCTCCTCCTTGGCTCTTGGGATGTACTCCTGGATGTAAAAACAATGCCTGCTCTTTGAGAACTTCTGCCTCGTCGTTCTGACTCGTCTTCCTCATCCCTGTTCCCCGCAAGTTCACGTAGCTCGTTTCTTCCGTTCCTTGCACCGGGTTCTTTCGAGGTGCTTCTGTCACGTTCCTCGTTTCTTCCGCTCCTCGCACCGGGTTCTTTCGAGCTGCTCCTGCCTTGCCGGGGCTCCTGTGACTCGCGTCTAATGCTTGGTTCCTTGGATTGGCTTCTTCCTTGCCGGCTCAAACTTGTCTCCCGACCTCGTGTGTAGACTCCGGAGTCACTACTATTTAGCAGTAATTCGCTGGAACTTTGCCTGCCACCCAATGGTTCCACGCTCTGCCGCCGAAGACCAGGCTCCTGCGACTCACTCCTCCTGGGCCTTGAAAAGTCGCTACTTTGCCGCCTGAGACCAGGCTCTTGCGATTCGCTTCTACGCCTCACTTCCGGACCTCTCGAGTCACTCCTCCGGCTGGGCTCTATACTTCTCTGCCTCCCTCGTGCGCTTGCAGTACTTTGCTGGAACCGTGGAATGGTGGCGGCATTGCGACTTATCTCCGTCTGCCGGAACCTATCGATGATACTCGAAGCTTCACTCTAAGAAGAAAAAAAAAACATAAAGTACGCATCAATCATCAAACCATACTCCAGTGAGATTAAAATACAGAGACACTTCACCTCTGAGTCACTGGCAAGATGGCGATTGTAAGGCCCGGGCTCGTAGCTCTCCTGGTCCGAATCCCTCTGAGACGACGCATCCTGATAGTTGCTAGTGCTGTCCAGCACGGACCCCGATTCCGAGTGGCTGCTCCCCCTTCTATGACCCTGGCCCTGGTTTTCTTGAAATTCCCTCCGCGTCGTGGATCTAAACGCCGACACCGCCATAATCCCTCGCTTCCGGATCTACACCCCGCCTAGATCGTGCCGCATTGCCGATATTTCGAGCTGGAATCCCTTCCCTGCGCATGCACGGCCGCGAGTTCTAGCTCTACAGTACCTCTAAAGACCTGGCGCCGATCCCTCCAAGGCGGCGATGGCGCGATGGCGCGCGAGATTGGGGCGCCCTTGGCACAATGCGCGCCTCGCTCTCTCCCCGCCCTGTCCCGCCCAGGGATGACGCCGACGAGCGCACAGACAAAACAGCCTTGATAGTGGAGAATGGCCCGCCCCGGTTAACCGGGCTCCGTTAACTTCCGCTAACTTAACGGAGCTTTTCAAATTAAAGTGCCCTAGGGTTTAGGGTTTTAGGGAGATTCCGCGAATATTCGCTCCTCTTTGAAATCTCGTTTTTGGCCTCTACGACTTTGAAAGTTCTCCTACAAAGCACGCGGAAGTTAGAAGCTAGGCTAGGTGTGTCTCAAGACACTTACATGACCACTTATACGCTAGAGAAGTTTTGGCGCTCTCGCGCTTCCTCCCAGCTTCGTTGATCAACGAGGACGACCATTCGACCAACCCTCTCACACACACTTGGAAGTTCTCCTCCTTTAAAATCCCCCGCACGATCGATATAATCAAGACGACATGGATCCCCCGCGACTGGGAAGCGCGCACCGCATTCTCTCCGCCTTAGACACGGACGAGCAAGTTCTCCGTTTCGTGGAGGCCATCACGAGCGACGTCGCGAGCATCCAGTCGGAGCTCCTCCAGCAAATCCTGGCGGACAATGCCGACGTTGCCTACTTCCACAGGCACGGCCTCTTTGGAGTTCCCAGCGCCGAGGACTTCCACTCGCGGCTGCCGCTCATCTCGTACCAGGACATCGAGCTCGACGTCGCGAGGATAGCCAGCGGCGACGAGGATGGCCATGCCAAGATCCTGTGCGCTCGTCCAGTGCGAGAAGTTCTCAAGAGGTAGTTCCCAGCTCGCGACTCTCTTAACTTGATGAAAGCTCGTTTGATCACAGCTCCGGTACCTCTGGAGGACGCCAAAAGCTGTTTCCAAAGCTCAGTGACTACGACCCCGAGTTCCTCGTCCTCAACAGAGTTGCCCGTGCTGCCTTGAACAGGTAAGTTCGTTCCGTCCAGAGAGAGGGCCCGATTTTCATCCTGTTCTGACCGACGGCATTCCAGGCAAGGTCCCTTCAACACTGGCAAGTCCCTCCACTTCATCTACGTGAGGAATCCCGAAGTGACCCCCGGCGGCGTGAAGCTCTCCTCCGGCCTCAGTGGCTACTTCACCAGCCCGGCTTTTCGTAACCGAAAGATTGATCCGGCGACGAGCTACACCTCCCCCGACCAAGTTCTCCAGTGCGTTGACTACATCCAGGCTAATTACTGCCATCTTCTCTGCGGCCTCGTTCAAAGGGACCAAGTTGTATCGGTCGGCTCGGTCTTCGCATCAACGTTCGTAAGGAGCTTGAAGTCTCTGAAGTGCCAGTGGAGAGATATCTGCCAGGACATCGCCGAGGGAGCGGTGAATAGCAGGATTGTCACAAGCCTTCCAGTCAGAAACGCTGTCAATGCCATCCTCCGGCCGGATATCGAGCTTGCTGATGCCATACGAAAGGAATGCTGTGGTGGGAACTGGAGAGGTATAGTGAGACGCCTGTGGCCCGAGGCTAGACTTGTCCAGACGATAATAACCGGCACCATGCAGCAATACGTTTCCATAATCGACATGCTGACCGACGGTCTTCCGATTGCTTCGTCCCTGTATGCGTCTTCGGAGTGCAGCAGCCTGGGTGTTAACCTGGATCCAGTATGTCCACCATCTGAAGTTCTGTACACGCTGTTCCCGTGCTTTGCATACTTTGAGTTCCTTCCCTTGGAAAACCGACTATCGGCCCCTGACGAAGACCAAGGGCAGGAAGAACGGAGCTTCGTTTCCTGCGACAACCTGGTAAAACTAGCAGATGTCAAAGTCGGAGACGAGTACGAGCTGGTACTTACCACCAAGGCCGGTTTATATCGGTACAGGGTCGGCGATATTCTCAAGGTCGTCAAGTTCCACAATGATGCTCCTCAATTCGCTTTTGTCCGGAGGGCCGGTGTGCTTCTGAGCGTTGACATGGACAAGACTGACGAGCTTGAGCTACATAAGGCAGTGACGCAAGCCTGGAATCGTCACCAGGAGCACAGCGAAATTCGCCTGGTGGACTACACTAGTCGAGTTGACTTGTCGTCCCAGCCAGGTCACTATATCATCTACTGGGAGGCCTTCCCAGATCCTCAGATTCTCGAGCTTGACGTGTGCTGCTTCGAGCTTGAAGAATCGCTTAGCGTGGTGTATCGCCGAAACCGAAGGGAAGGAAGCGTAGGACCATTAGAGATCAAGCTTGTCCGGCAGGGAACTTTCGACAAAATAATGGACCATGTGGTACAGAATGGCGGGGCGAGCTACGGACAGTATAAGACGCCAAGATGTGCCAAAGACCCCAAGGTTGTGAGCATTCTGGAAAGCAGTGTCATTGCAAAGGGACAAGCGAGGTACATGCAAACCAGTACCTAGCGTGTGCGCATCTAGGCGCGAGAAGACGACGCCTTCCCGTTTAAATTGACCAGCAGGCTGGTATAAACATATATTAGAACAAGTATTTCAGTAAACGAGTATTTCAACAAACGAGTACTGTTACCTGAGACATTACTCTCCTCTCGAGGCAGAAGGTTGACATAAACATGTTTGACAAGTTCAGCAAGCCACGAGGCCTCGCTCAGGGCCTGAGAACTCGACCAAACGGTCAGAAGTATACTTACTTTTCAGATAGAACAGTCTAGTGCTAAGATCTACGAAAACATATTTTCATAATCCAGTGAAGCTGTATACAACAAACGCATCGTCAGGAAGTCAACCTCTCTGTTCAAAAGTCTGCTCATACCTCTAGTAGCAAATCCGTCAACCTCACCGTAGATACGAATGGGCACGACGAAATATCGCAATATCGAATTATATATCCAGTTGACCACCAAAATGTCGAATCAGTATATAGCTACAAGCTCCATGAGACTGCAAGAAAAAACTTAAAAGTCGAATCAGTTGATACAGCCCACAGATACTTACCTTACACTCCTTGCGCCGAAGATTCTGATTGTTCATCTCTACCTTCACGGTCAGCATTGTCTGGCACATCCAGTTTCGACAGGATGAAGTTGCAAATCGAATCGAAGGCGGACATTACGACTCCATCTCCCTTCGTTGTTCCCGACGATAGATGCTCCATCGGGTTCTTCTTTATGGTGCCGAAGAGGTCCGGAGAAGAAACACCACACAGTCTTTTGTCGAGTGGTTCTTGGCTTGAAACCCAGTTGACGGCATTGCCTTCAAGAAACTTGAGTTGATCGTACGAAAGCACCTAAGAGTGAACAAGTTACTATCTCGTTAATTTTCAAGGAAGGAAACTTACTCGCAATGAACCATCTGGAATTTGTGCATCACAGAATGCAATGCATCTCAGTCGCTGGAGTGCTCCCCATCCTGCCAGAAACAGGGAGACGTAAAACAAGACGATTGATCATCATTTAAAACCTCGGTGCTTTAGAAGCTCGATAGCGAGTGTTCCGCCATAGGCGTGCGCAACCAACGCCAGCATTTTGTCAGGGAAAGTCGCAGACACAAGGTCCCAGGCACACAAAACGTGGTCAAGAAGAGCTTCAAAGCTTGCTTGTTGCTGAAAGTTACTTTTCTCTGTCAATTCGACGTGTTCGCTGGAAATACGGTAAGCTATACCTTTTTTCCATTAAGCATCACCTCGTTTGGGTTCAGGACAAGCACCGCAATATCAAGCTCATGAGCCCACTCTGAATATGAAAGGTTCAGTTAAGAAGATCATACAGGCATTGATACATTACCCAGAAATGGCAAAACGCTGCCTGTACGAAGAGAGTCCTGGACAAATCCAAAACCAAAACTTTAGAATACTAGAGAATGCATATCACCGTGAGACAGAGGCTCCTCGACCACTGGCCAGCACTGTTTGTAAAACCGAAAGTCAGAAAACTTTGGGCTAAGTGAAAAACGTACTTCAATTCTCCACGCCCACACAAAAGGATAACCAGCGCCCGTGCTGTCTTAGCATTAGATGACAGGAACACCGTGCTTTCCATTTTCTGGACCACCTGCGTAATGAGATGTTAGGCTCGGTTACTGTTGTGAATTGTATACTTACCCCACCATAAGCCAAAGCTAAAGTCCTTTTCAGAGTGAATGTTTCCCGCGTCATACCATAAGTCTGACATCACGGATAGTTTTTGAGCGCTAGCAAGTTCCTAGGAAATCAGCTCCAACCTCGACCATGAGCTCTTGAATGTAATCCGCGACCGCATCGACCAGTTTCTTGTAGCCAGCTTCCTGTTACAATGCATGTTTATAACAAACAAGCATGTAACAAGCATTACCTTGTTAAACTTTTCCAGGGTAAGCCTTTCTGCCAAAGAGTGAAAAAACAATTAGATCCGATCTTATATATTTTTACCTGAGAGGCTATCCCTGAGCCGAAGATCCGAGTCGAAGAAGAAGCCCAAGCGATGAAGCTCCCGAGCGGCAAAAGAAGAGGTCTTCTTCTTCGAAACCCGACGTAGAGATCTTTTCGCAAAGCTGAGCAGATTCCATACCTTGGGACTATCGGGCTCTGGTAATATCAGTTAGCTTCGAGTGAGTGATCAAACCGGATTGGAAAACGATGCGCTTACCAGTGGTTTGCTTGCAACCTTTGTGCTCGGCTCCAGCAACTTGGACAAACGTATAGCAAGAAGAACTAGGATCAAACACGAGCAAGACGATAGCGAGATACCGGTTTCCTCATTGGATGTCGACGAAGATGTCGACGAAGATGTCGACGAAGATAGAGAAGGATCGTCATTCGGAGGAGCTCCGCAAGCGAAGAAGAGCCGAAATATCCCGCAACACGTCCGATATCGGCTCCATCGTGACGATATTTCGATGCCGCTGTCTCGATCGGTCGATTCTTGAGAGTTGGCGCTTGATCCTGCAAGGCGATTCTAGAAAATCGCTGGGAAAAAGGGGCATTACCAGTTGACTTGTCGACGTCGCTGCCTCGATCGGTGGATTCTTGACCGTCGGCGCTTGATCCTGCAAGGCGATTCCAGAAATTCGCTGCGAAGAAGCGGCATTACCAGTTGAGATCTTCTTCCTGTCGATGTCGCTGCCTCGATCGGTCGACTCTTGAGCGTCGGCGCTTGATCCTGCAAGGCGATTCCAGAAATTCGCTGGGAAGAAGCAGCATTACCAGCTGACAGCCTCGCTCCCATCTTCTTCCTTTCTCCCCGCAAATGCAAAAAGAAAATAGGGTTTATGGCCATTTTAAACTCGCAAGCGCGCCTCAAGAGAGAATCTCTTCGTCGGGATCGTTCCAGATGCTGCAAAGAAGAACAAAAGGCCCAGAGATTCGCGTGTTGAGCGCCGCCACATTCTCAGCGCAGCGAGCCGCGCGATCGAGATCCCGGTGGAGCTTGCAAGCCCCAGCCAAGCTCGTCCACGCCACCAGATCCGGCTCGAATGGCATCCCATCGATGAGCGCCTCGGCCTCCTCCATCATCCCCAGCCGCCCAAACAAATCGATCAGGCAGTGGAAGTGATCCGGAATCGCCTCGCAGCCAAATTCCTCCACGAGCTTGAAGATCTCCACGCCCTCCACCGCCACGCCGGCGTGGGCGCAAGCGTGCAAGACACTCGTGAATGTGATCTCGCCCGCGCCGACGCCATCGCCGCTCATCTCCCGGAGAAGGTCCAGCACCAGATCCAGCTGATTGAATCGCGCCGCCGCGGAGATTATCGCGTTCCAGGACACCGGATCGTCCCTAGCGCGCCGAGCAAACACTGCTTTTGCGCGATCCCAGCTCCCACACCGCGCATACATGCTGATCAATCCATTCTCCACCGTGGTCTCGGATTCCAGCTCCTGGACGACAATCCAGTCGTGGAGCCGCCGCCCCACGGCAAGATCCCCGAGACTGGCACACGCCGCTAGGGCTTTGGAGAAGACGAGCACATCCGGCACCACATCGATCGAATCCAAGAGCTCCAACACCCCGGCATCCAATCCGGCCTCGGCATACGCCGCTAGAATCGCGTTCCAGGACACCACATTCTTTCCCTGGATCCGATCGAACGCCCTCTTGGCCTCGTCGATCCTTTTGCATCGCCCATACATCGCGACCAGCGCCGTGCCCACGACGGCATCGCGATCGCAAGCCCTAGCCGCGGCCACGCGATGGATCTCCTGCCCGGTCTCTAGATCCCGGCAAGCGCCCAAGATCGTGGAGAGAGTGTAGCAATCCGGCTCCACGCCCCGCGCAATCGCGCCCCGGTAGAGCTCCACTGCTCGATCGGGCAATCCCCGGGCGACCAGCACGGCCATGATCGCCGTCCAGCACACCACATCCTTGCTCTCCACTCGATCAAACGCGGCCATCGCCTCGCCCACGCTCCCCCATCGCCCATACGATCGAACCAGCGCGGTGCCCACGACCGCGTGGGATTCCAATCCACTCACGATCGCGCGCGCGTGGATCTGGCGCGCATCCCCGAGCTTGCAAACGCTGAGGACGATCGAGAGCGTGCACGCATCCGCGCCGCCGGCGACGCCCTCGATCGCCATCCTCCGGTAGAGCCCCATCGTCTCCTCCAGATGCCCATTCTGGGCATAGCAAGCGAGCATCGCGTTCCAGGTCGCCAGCGTCCGCGACTCCATCTTCTCGAAGATCCGCCGCGCGTCCTCGATGCATCCACACTTGGCATACATGTCGATGAGCGTCGTGCCCACGGCAACCTGGCGATCGCAGCCCAGCGCGATCGCCCGCGAGTGGATCGCCTTGCCAGTGCCGAGATCACGCAGGCTAGAGCACGCCACCAGCGCCTGGACCAATGTCCCGGCGCTTGGCTCTAGATCTAGATCCTTGCCGCGATCACACAGCTCCTTGTAGACCCTCAGCGCCTCCTTGTTCTTGCGATTGTGGACGAATCCCGTGAGGAGGCTGTTCCAGAGCGAGATCTCTCTTGCCAATCTCCCGTCCTTGCCGCACAGATCGTCGAAGACGGCCTTGGCATCGCCGGGGCTGCCACACTTGCCATACATTCTGATGAGCAGCACTGCCAGGGAGAGATTCTGGGAGAGATTTTGGGGGCACGCCGCGATCAGCTGTGCGTGGATGCGCTTGCCGTGCTCCAGCGCCGCTGGGGAGTCGCATTTCCGGAGGAGAGACGCGAAGATGTGGATGACATTCACCTGGGCGCGAGGCTGCTGGCGATCGCCGCCGTGGTCGCCGCCGTGATCCGGCCATGGCGGCAAAGATCTGGGCGCCGGATTGCGCTGCGCAAGAATGTCCACGGCCGCTGCCGCTAGGGCTCGCTTCTTCCTCAGCGGCTCCAAATGCCGCCATAGCATCCTCCATCAAGAAACCCTAAATCCCATCGTTGAGATTTTAACGGTGGATGTGATAGTGAGCATATTCTAGCAAATTTAAAACAATCGCCTTTAGGCCAGAAGAGAGGAGTATTAAAGGTACGTTTTACCGCATATTTCGCCGCATATTTCGCGACACATTGCGAAATTCTTTCTACGACGTGTATGAAGCATTAGGCGTTGCCACGTGTTGTATTTCGTTTGTATATAAAACCCAATCCTGTAGTAGAAGAAGCATATCGTTCCATAGTCATTTCTAGCCAAGTTCTTCCACGCTTTTCTAGCGATCTTTCACTGCTTTGCGATTTTTCTGCAAAATGGCACTCGCAGCAGGCAGTAGCATTGCAACAATCCCTTCCTGGCTCTCCAAATCCGCCGCGCCCAAGTCTCGATCCAATCGCTCCTTGATCCTGCTGCCAGTGAGAGCTTCCTCGGACACTGGACGAGGCGATGGAATCAGCAGCGTTTTGGACAAGACCAAGAAGGAGATCAGCCGCGAGGATGTTCTCAAGAACCAGGCCGAGAACGAGTCGGAGAAGCGGTCTGTGTTTGGAGCGGTGCCATCGTCCGGAGCATTGTGGCCGAGGCCGGAGATTGAGAGGCGGCCGGAGACGGGCGATCGATCGTTCGCGAGCTTGATGGCGTTTGATGGCGCTGGCCCAGAGACGATCAATGGCAGACTGGTAAGTTCTTCCTTCAATTTGGAGATCTATGCAACTTTGGATTGATTGATCTCTAATTGTACAGGCAATGGTTGGAATCTTGTGGGCATTTGCGGTGGAGAGGATGACGGGACAAACGGTGGCCGAGCAACTCTACGCCCCAGGCAACTTTGGCTTGTTTAATTTCTTGGCGGTGGCACAGCTCTTTGCGTATGCGTCGCTGGTTCCCCTGTTTAAGGGAGAGAGCCCTGATAGCCGATCTTTGGGTCCGTTTAGAGCTATGGCCGAGCGCTGGAATGGGCGGACGGCCATGCTTGGATTCCTGGCGTTGGTGGTCACGGAATTTTTCACCAAGACCCCAGTGTTTCTGTAAAGTTGTTTTGTTTAGTTAAAGAATAGTAAACATATTTCTTAAGAATGATTGTTTTGTTTAATCTAAAAAAACTTATTAATTGTTTTCTTTCAATAATTATTTTCATGATTTTACACTTGTTATGAACTATATTTTCAGTTCTATTTCATTTCCATTTTCTCCAGCTTTACATTTAGTTCTTATTATTATAAAAGCGAATAAACAAGTTTCTTTAAAAATACATTAGAAGCATCTTTAAATATTATTCATAACATATTTAAATAGTGTTTAAGTGTGTTTAAAAGTATCATTCATTCATTTTGAATTGAACTTTTCAGATTTATGCAATCACATTTTTCTTGCCATATCTGCTTAGTACAATTTAATACATAAGATATTAAAATAAAGAATAAATGGGTATATCTTTCTTTTATTTTTAATTTTTTATTGCATATCATATTAATGTGGGGTATCCTATATATGAATCTAACTTAGATTGCCTATAATATGCAAAACTGCCATATAACTAATAATATAACAACCATTAGAATTTAACATTTGTCTCATTCATGTCTCATTGAATGCAAATTTATGATCTTTTGATTATGACCATTTCCCTCCTTTTGTGTGGGCTTTAATCTCATAGGCCCCCTATTCACCTTCCAATCATTTGACAATGGCATTTTTATAGATAACATGCTATCAAGATAGATATAGTTGAAAGAGATGAGCTATCATGATTGCAATACTAACTATAAGTGTCACATGGGTATCATATCCTAATCTAGGCTATAAAGTGGTGATTTTGAGTGATCAAAATTGCAGTGGTTTTGAGTGATCAATTGGACGTCCATAGAGTCCGGAAATAGAGTCCATTAAGAGTTCTTGTGGTTTATATTTGGCTAGAATAAGTTTCACAAAGAGTTAATTCTATACATGTGTTTCAATATGTCCACTTCATATTGAAGTGGACATAGGCTAGTTATACATATGCTAGTATGACTTTACATACTTCATGGTTATAGTATGAAGTATCATTGGATATTATGACTATACTTCATACTATGTAAAGTCATGCTAGGGACTTTACATACTAGCATAACTTTAGATAGTATGAAAATGGTCATACTATCCAATATGGCCTCACTTTAAGATTTTTCATGAGATACATATGTAAAGTCCCTCTTGATTGTTGATGCACATAGTGGTTTAGTTTTCAAAGAGTTACTACGCCTTTGCAATCATATATATAACCAAAGTAATGTAGAAAGCTTTCATGTGTACTTAGAGCATACCATCACATTAATGGGATTGCCCATGCATCAAAAGGGAGTATGTTAGATGATGTTTAAGGCCTTAGATAGGCCATAATATATATAAAAGACAATCTTCATAATTGTATGTTATTATATTTATGCACAAAACCATTGTTATAACAATGTTACCACCTAAATTCCTCTGAAAAAATGGTCATACCATCTAATACTATGTCATGACTAAACCACTCATTATTCGTCAAAGAAAGGCAACTACTCTATTATATATTTTAACTTTGGCATGAGCTGCTTTATGTTATGGTAGTGGTCCTCAATCTATGCTAGAGGAGTGTCACCACCTTGATTTTTTACTAATTCATTTATAATTAGTGTTTAATATTAATTTTGTTAAGTATCTTTAATATAAACCATAATTTAGCGTTTCCACTAGTTTCTTTATAAAAGATTTAAGGGTGGCTAGGGTTAACAGCCCAGCATGGAGCTGGATAGCGTAGAGGAGAAAATTGAAACAGTTGAGAAGCAAATCGAAAAGAAAAAGGATACCAAGAAGAGGAAGCAGCTGCGGGAGGAAAAGAAGCAGCTGCGGGAGGCAAAGAAGCAGCTGTGGGATGAAAAGCTGCGGGAGCTTGAGAGTAAGTGGTTGACTTGCCTTTGTGGGCTGGCTGCTTATTGCCTCCTCTATGTTTGGATTCTCTGGCTGCACCTGTTTCCATGTGTGTGGCTATGTATTTGCCTAACTGACAAGTTTACATTTCTGTTTCAGCGGCAATAACACTTCAAGCTGCGCCAGGTAAGCACTTCCTCTTGTATGGTTTTTCTTCCGTTGTTTTATAATGAGTTCGTTTTGCATCAGTTTGTGTTGTAGTGTCGAAGTTGCTGGATGTATACGGAGAAAAACTGCAGCGCGCAAGGTGTTTTCACGGGATGCCTGAGACGAGGGTGTCAACCTGCAAGTTGCCTCTTCTGGACAACGGTGGGCCGCCGTGTTTACATACGGACTTGGGAGATTATTTTACGTTGGTCGGAAGGGAGGAGACGATTCAGCATTTCATGGCAGCCGCTGCAAGGGTGTTTGGAACTTTCATGAACACGACGGCCAATGCCTCGGATATTGAACGAAAAGAGTTCTTGTTGATGCTCATTGGAATTCCCGGCGCAGGTAAAACAACTGTCGGGACATGCCTCTCAGCTCTTCTCAGAGAAGCGTGGGAGAGGGACACTAAAACAGGGGATATAGATGGCCTTCTAGAGGATCAGCTAGGCGACAAAAGGCTCGTAAAACAGTTCAAAGAAATGGGGAACAACGTGTTGGAGACCGGCAAAGATCTTACAATGTATCATTCGGTTGAAACTACTAGGGCAGGGCATGTAATTCACCTGGAGAACGGCCTGGCAGCCAAACAGGTTTTGGCCCTTCGGTGCCTTCATGCAGCTCTTTGTCCAATGAATACTACTGGTTATGGCTGCTTTCTCAGGGGGTTGGATGGCAAATTTCCAGGCCTGAGGAATGTGCTGACTTTGGGAGATGTGATCGACTTCATTCGAACTGGTCTTAAGGTTCCTGCGGATAAGTCTATCTTGGTTTTTTGATGAAGTCAACAAGGCCCAACCTGAGCCGGGCCGCCCACCTGCATCGTCCTGGATTCATGATGCTTTCTCGGCCTATGTTCAACATATCAAAGATAGCCGAGGGAGCCTGACGTTTCCTATACTTACAGCAGCAACGACCCAATTTGCCGGGGCCACAATGCGCTACACATCAACAGAGAAGCTTACAAGTATTTTTATACCTATCAGGCCTTTGAAAGAGACGGAGGTGGTTAGAGTTACGAAAATCTTCCTTACAAGACTAGGAAATACTCTGGACATGGAGAAACCATTTGAGCTGAAGGACGGACTAAGGAACCTGATAAAGTTATCAGGAGGGAATCCTCGCATGCTTGAACACCTTTTGAGAGGGTTGATGTCTGACCACCTTCCTTTGGATGCTTCGAAGTTTTATGAAAAGGTTTCTTCTGTTCTTTTTTGTTTTTTTTTGTTTTTCCCTTGATGTGATGTGAAAATTTCTATGTTTGTTACAGGTGAATCAAGATCTCACCCAAATCGATCTCCTTGAGACTGCATGGGGTAATATCAGACATGGTTTTTATTTTGGGTACCTTAAGGACGAGAGGTATTTGTTGGTGTTGCGAGCTTTTTATGTTGCGCTGCTGGGGACCCTGATCAGTAGGGAAGAACAAGTTTGGCCAGGTAGCAAATACGAAGATAAGTGGGGGTGTTTAGAGTCTTGCGGTTTAGTTGGACTCTTACGCAACGAGGTGCTTTTTTGATATTTCAGAGTTATTGCAAAACTTATGTGGTGTCAATGTACAGGAGCTGTCATCTAATAAGAAGATTAAATTATCAAAAGATGAAGATGCTGATGGAATGCGGTCTTTCTCCATCATGTTCTCTCCATTCCTCATTTACCATCTCGTTGAGAACCTACATGTGGCGGAGCTCAATTTGTGTCCACCTAAACTAAGATCTAATCCCATAGACAAGGAGGTATTTGATCTGATGTCCATTGTGTTGATGATACATATGTTGCGGCTTTTTCATGATCGTGAGGGAGAGGGAACAGTATTTGAGTTCAGGCTCAAAGAAATTCTTCCCTCCAATTTCCACATTCCTGGAAGTATGCAAGCTTTG